AATTGTTCCCGTACTTTTTCAGAGGTTGCCTAGTTTTATGCGTATTTTGCAGGGTTCACATGGTCTGGCTGTGTCTTGGGTACCGGCAGAACTAAGCCGCCATTGGCTCTCTCCTTATTTGCACCAGGGATTATAAGTACTTAAAAAATGACGTACAACAATGATCCTAAATCACCATACCGTCATGTCATTAAGATGTGTGGTATGAATGTAAACATCATTATCCTCCTTCAATTCACTGCAACTTCCCTTGTTATAAAAAAACCCATGCTCTTTATATTTAATAAAGCTAAAACAAGATGGGAAGTATGCCCTTATGGTCATTTATCTAAAATTTCAGCAAAAAACAAATACTAAAAATTTCCTCCACTTCATTAGAGCATGTGGGTCTAATAAAATCATGTCACAAAAGCTGAATTGTTATTTGCACATTTACCATTGACACTTAGGGTTAGGATTGTAATTACAAACCCTATACCCCTTCTAGAATCTTCCAAATATGTGCACAATCTACTTGTTTTAGGGATTAAACTTGTGCTAAAAACAATTTTCTAAAATTCCAATATTTTAGATATTACATAATTAAATGAACAAAATCACAAAGGACATGGGAATCCCAAAGTGGGGTTGACGTCACCCCTACGTCCTCTCCACGTGGGGGGGGGGACATGGGATCTTTTCAAGCTAACACGTGGACACTCATTGGCCATTTGGGTTTCTTGTGTGGGTCTTGGGGGACCGTCCTTGTTTGTCATTTCTTTGAAACAATTATAGAAACTGGATTTTCTTGCCCAAAGAAATCTAGAAAAAATTCTATAAATCCCAAAAAAATCATTTTAATGATTTTCGATAAAATTAAATCATTTTGGAATTGATTAAAATATTTACAAGGGAAATTTGGTTCTTTGGAGTCGAATTACAAAATAGAGCACCACTTAAATATACCCGGAATCCAAAGCTCGCCTTCTCGGTATGACCTAACAAACTCATGACCCACAATGTATAATCAAGGGCTCATGATCTTAGCCTATCAAAGTCAAACTGATGTGCGACTTTGAATCCCCAAGTTTAAATAGATTTCAGGTGCACCCCTTAGAGGATATGCACATACATGGTGCGTGGGTTCCTCTCTTAGCACATATGCATGGCTTTAACCACTAGATCTCCGGAAGAGTGGCTTCCTATGCATTGCGACTATATATGCACATGCTATAAGAAAGTTCTACGAGTTTGGGATTTAGACCAATGTCCTTTATTGGCTCCAACTTTACTGTACAGGGCTTTGTGTCATCATGCTCATACATAAACTGTATTGCCATGGCTAATTACTTAGCCATGAGGTACAAACATAAGAACCGACCTTGACTAAGAGGTAACCTTCAACTCTTTTAGTAGCTCCTATGTATATAAATCCTCTTCATGACTTAATCGGGGTTCCATGACTCTTTGGTCCCAGTCCGTCAAGATCCTAGAGTCATGTCTCTCTTTTAGTCCCACTGAAGTCAAGAGCCATTGAAAATATCGAGATTTAAGGCCTTAAAAGGACATAATTCCAATATTTGAGTGGTTTGGACATCCAATATTAGCTTTTATTTCAACTTTTTTTTAAAAAAAAAGGCTCTAAAACCCAAAGTGAACCCCTTAAAAACTCAAATCCATATATTTTTCTCACCTCTCTTGTTGCCTCCCTCACCTTGTTGCTCTCCTCTCTCTCTTGCCATCTTGTCCTCTCTCTAACTCCTCTCACCCTAAATGGATTCAAAGAGGTGTTCTTTGATGCGAATCATTCGATTTAGTGTTCTATAATATCATACATTGTGAGGTATCCCAATGTAACAAAAACAATAAATAAAATCTACATGCACATCTTCTTTTTGTAAATCTGATCTCCATTTTCACACCGATTGCTCCCTTTCATGTTTCGAGAGTTTGATGTCATCTCCTCAAATCTTCCTTTTTTATTACTATAACCACTACGACAGTTCACAATGTAAGTCCTAAGCCTCAATGAATAACCTAAGAGTTCTCACTTTTACCTAAAGAGGGATATTTTTATTAGGGTTCCTTTGAAGAGAGAGGAGAGAGATGGACATTGGTCTATGGTCTCTTTTTAGGTAGAGGAAATAAGAAAAGCTTGTGGAAATAATATACTCATCATTTGAAAGTGGACAATGTGAACTAGTACGGTTTATGTAGTTTTAAATAGTTTATTTTCAGAACCAAAGACCAAAGATTACAAAGAGAACTCAAATAAACAAATATGAAACTCAAAATTGGATTTTATTTTGCTGTCACTTTAACAACTAGTAATTTCATAACAAAAAATTACATCAACTTGAACTTGGGAACAAGAAACACATAATGCAGTAAAAAAAAAATAGATGCTAAAAAATTACCTCAATTGGACTTAATAACACTACACATTGGGTCTCTTGCGTTGATGGCGCACAAGATCAAAGTCTTTCTTGGACCTCACAAACTTTGAGAAGCTAATACTAATAAAACCCTTCAATGGATGGGAGCATGTGGAAAATTAAACTAGAGGCTTCTTTCATTTCTTCTCTACGTGGGGCATGCCCCCTCCATGGATGCAGCACAATGGAGTGTGCCCCTTTATCTCCTCGAGTCTATGAGAGATAGAGACATAAAGATAGAGAGATATCTAAAGAGGGTGGCGGGCCACCTTGGGTGAGAGAGAGAGATTTTGGTTGTGGTGTGTTGTAGAGAAAACCCATAAAGATTCTATAGATTTGTGGCTAGGATTAGGGTTTCTAGCATTTAGCCATCCTTATGGAAATCCCATCTAAACCATTGATCAAAAGTGACATGTGGGGGGAGATAACGTAACTATAAAATCTCTAGATCAGTCATTATGATCTAATTGAAGATGTTTAAACCTTATCTCCTCTGTTTCCTTAACCTACTCCTATCAAATATTAAGTGTCGAAAAAATATATAATACTTACCTTTTATTTTCAAATAAATCTCAGCACCTTATTTCAAAATCAATTAGCCATTGTTTTTAAAAACCTTCCCATTTCATTTCAATCAATTGAATGGCCTATCATGCAAGCCACCACAAATCAAAAGCAGGTGAAAAAAGTGCGGTGTCCCACTGTTTTATGGAATAGTGTGCCCCACACCCAAATCAAGGTGGGCTAGAATGGTGGGGCCTATAGAGCATAATGGCACCCCATATGTTTTAATAATTTTAAAATTCATAATAATTTTAAAATTCATAATTTTTCTTTGAATAATTAAATGAGTAATGATACTATGAGACCCTCCCACATCCATGTGAGTAGGACCTCAAAGGATCACCATTAAATTTTGACACTGATCTTTAGAAATGTTATGACATGGGTGTGGGACTTGGATGAATGGGTATATTGATAACTTTTTTAGAGACCTGTGTCAAAATTTAATAGTGATCCTTTAATGTCCTACTCACATGGGTGTAGGAAGGTCTCATAGTATCATTACGCTAATTAAATACCTAAAAATGTAGTTTAAGCTGGTTTATTATTGAGCCCATACAGTATAAGGGGCGCTCATTGGCCTGGCATACAAAGAGATTTCCTTGGTATGTCCATCTTCTAATTCCAGTTTTCTTAATTGGCCCCCATAATCTGCCACTCTCATTTCTTTGCACACTTCCTTCAAAATTTAGTCTGACCCAGTCCGCGGGTTGGGTTTCCCATTTGCCCGCTTTATGCTTCTTGAGTCTTTTTATGAACTAGATCCCTAAGATTAGATTGAAACTTTTTCTTGGGTGAACCTTTGAATACTCATCGTGCCTATGCCCACTAAATAATGGCCCGTTAGAGTGGTAGAATATCCTTGTCTGAGTTCTCAGAGATTTTATTAATTCTTCTTCATATGTGGTAGAGCACTGCTGCAGTTATGATTCTCCATAAGGCTACTGTTTGAAGCATAACCCAGTTCCCAGTAGCCTTCAGCTTGACCCACGCCCCAATTGTTCTAGAAAGAGTGCAATGCATTAGCAGATGATCAATTGTCTCTGCATTCTGCTTACACAGGATGCTGACATTTGCCATGCTTACCCTTCTTCTTCAAGTTACTTCAATTGATAGAGATATGCTCCTACCTGCCAGCCAAAAGAGAGCCTGTACACCAAACGGGATTCTAAAAAGCCATGTCTTTGCCACCGATGCATTAATTAGGAGACAAGGATCCTGGCTAGTAGTATTATAAAGTGATCTTGCTGAAAACATCCCCCTGGGCTCATATCATTTGTGTATTGAAGCCAAGATCCATACCTTGAGGTTGTGCCCTCAGCGTCCAAACCATTCAACAAGAATCCCGAGTCAGATAAAAGGAGCCAATTTTCTGTCAAAAAGAAATGGCCATCAGAACACATGCTTAGGGGTTGAACACCATGTCCAGAGATTCTTTTATACAGAACTCTCTCCAAAGATACTTCATGCTCCAAATGCATCCATTTGATGGTCGATCAAATATAAGGGTTCTCAAAATCCTTTTTTCTTGTTATATTGATCACTAGCTCAATCAAAGTTGTTTCTGAAATTCAGGTCATCACCATGTTCTTCGCCTTGGGACCAATAATACAATTTGGCCCTAAGAAGGCAGCCAATTATTTAGGTATCCTCAAAAGACAAATTTCCCCAAAATATATAATTATGAGAGAGAGAGAGAGAGAGAGAGAGAGAGAGAGAGAGAGATTCACTTCCAAGGAAAACACAATTAATTATACACAAGTGCATATCCAGATGATTCAGAGAGGCTCTCTTGAGGATTTGGCCAACAATTTCTTGGAGACTGGAGAATATCTCACAGGTCATTACTTTTAGAAATTACCAAATCAAGGATTTCTTAAATATAACACAAGGATTTCGTAATCTAACATTATGTCTTTCACACCTCTTCTGCCATCAATCCAGCGTAAACCTCAGATGTATGGATAGTCAACTCTGGATGAAAAGAAGGGACCTCGCAGATTTCAAATGACACGAACAGTCGAGATGAAAAGGAAAGAGCTTATTGAGCATTAGCATATATTAAAACATCCACAGTAATTTCACAAGATACAACTAATGAGAACTTTTCCAAGAACATGCACGAACATAATCATAGAAAAACAGGTGGACAAAAAAATAATTTAACAACAAACATAGAAAAGACGAGAAGGATACGACATCCCCTGTATTTTGGAATTCGGAAGAGACTCAAATACAATGGCAAAGAAGTATGGTACGTAGAGCCTACACAGGCTGCGGGCGAGACTGCACTATATAAATATCCCCACCAACCACACACCCCTCAATGTCCTGTGGGCACCCAAACTTGCGCTCCAGGAAGAACCCCACTGCACCCAGCCTCTGTCCTAGCCGCAATCTCGTCAACCCGTCCACGGTCAGAGACTGCCTACTATAATCCACTGTTCGTCTCACCACCCCACCTTTGTCCACTACTAGCTCCTCGCTGAAGTTGGCAAATGCCAGTGTCCTCACATTCTGCTCCAATTTGCCAGAAGCGAGCCTCCAAGGGGTGCCACGTGTGCCAGAAGCAAGGGTCTCCCCGAGCCCAGGTGCCAGCTCAGCATGGACACATGAAGGATCACCGTCAAATGGACTAACCGTGTGGAGCACAAAAGAGACATCTGGCATTAGCATCTCTTGCACCAAAACCCCCATGGCGGCCTCATGTTGGGGAACGCCGGCGGCTCTCCTACTTAGGACAGCCCTCCTTGTGTACAAAGAAGCCCACACTGATGCTACAGCAGGCCCGAGAGCCTCTGGGGTAGGCCCCACATTGGGGATGGAGTCATAGAGGCCAGCTGCCGACATGCCTGCAAGATCCTCGACATTGGCACTTGAGCGCACTATGAGCATTGGCATCTTGCCTAAGCGCTCAGCGATGGTGACAAGTATTGGTTTGGAAGGGCATTGGGAGGATATAAGGGAGCGGAGATCAGCACATAGTTTGTCGAGGTGGCCGCCCTCAATCACGGCAGTCTCGAGGCTTTCATGGAGGGAGCGGAAAACTGGGAGGGAGCCACTTGCCTTGAGGGCTGCTTCCATGGAGCTGAAGGGTATTGCAACTCCGGCTGGAACTCGGAAGGACGCAGGGATGTCGTGGTCACTGTAGACTGAGTTAAGAACATGAAGAGTTCAGATGATAAAGCACATAATAAGAAAGAGGAGAAACCATAGGGATTTTAGGGATTTTAGCCGAAGTCTGATTCTCTTTATTACATCCTAATCAAGATAAGAGAAAACAAATGCATATTATTATGGCCTCTAGCACAAGGACCCAGGCACATTTTATTAACAGATAGATATACCATCTCCAGCACTGCTCGAAATCTTTCATGACTTTTGATGAAAGGAAGAAAATACAATATTTTTTATTTGCACATTTTATAAATTTTTTTTTTTTATAATAACAGTTGGCCTACATCAAGGGTCAACATTGAGCTCATTTCTTTTTGTTTTAGTTATGAACGACTTAACTAGGCATCTACAAGATACGGTACCATGGTGAATGTTGTTCGCGGATGACATAGTTTTGATTGATGAGACTAGAGGCGGCGCCAACGTAAAGTTAGAACTTTGAAGGAATGCTCAATCTAAAAGTTTTAAAATTAGCCGGACTAAAATAGAATGTACTGAATGCAAGTTTAGTAATAATAGGAATAAAAACGAGTAACTAGTTAAGATTTATAACCAATACTACCTAAAAGAGATTATTTTCGATATCTTGGATCGATAATCGAGGAGAATGGCGAGATTGAGGAAGATATTGCTCATAGAATTAGAGCTAAATGGGTGAAGTGGAGATGCGCATCCGGAGTTTTATGTGATTGTCGCATACAAATGAAACTGAAGGGGATGTGTTATATGATGGCTGTAAGACCAATCATACTTTATGAGACGGAACATTAAGCGGTCAGGAAATAAGATATCCATATTATGAGTGTAGCTCAGATGAGGATATTAAGATGGATGAGTGGCAAGACAAGAAATGATAGAATGAATATATACGAGTGAACTTAGGGGTGAGCTCCATTAGGCGATAAAATGAGGGAAAGTAGGGCTGGCCATGTGCAGCATAGACCCAATACAGAACCGCCTAAGAGGGGAGATTTGGCTCAAGTGGTTAGATTTAAAAGGGCGAGGGGAATGCCCAAAAGGACATGGATGGGAGAAGTGAGAAGAGATATGGTGACTTACGGTCTGACTGAAAGTATGACCCTTGATAGAGAAGAATGACGGAACAAGATCATGTAGTGACCCCAAATAGTTGGGATAAGGTTCGGATGATGATGATTATGATCATGACTTATACTATAAAAACTATAGCTATTGCCGGCATGAAAAGAAACAACTTCCAATGCCCTCTCAATCTATCACAGGTTACACAGATATATACATATATAGAAAAATGGTTTGATAGGAATACAGCCCTAACAAAACATGTAAAGCCTCACCTCATAATTCATCGAAAATTACAATTCAAGTATTAAAAAACCTTTACATTGATCATCTCGGCTTGAATATTATGGTTATCAAAAAAAAAAAAGCATTTCAAGCTCTAAAAAAATAGTGTATATTGTAACCTGTTATCTAGACCGTCCATTTTTCTCCAAAAATAAGTGTTCACAGATCCGCAAGATCTGCACCATTTTATGAGTTTAAAATTTTTATTGTCAATGTTGCAAATTGATTTGGAGTCATCAAATGAGGATTTAAGGTGAGGCTTTATTTTGTTTTTGTAAATCCGAGGCCTCATAGAAACTTCATCCATGTAAGTATATAGGTTTTTCTAGTGGTAACGCCCCGTAAAATCCTATAGGTTATATATAGAGAGGGGTGTGAACTTTTAAAATTACTTTAGTTGCCCCTTACTTTATTCGATTACTATAAAATGAGTAAGGTTATTTTTGTCATTAAAAAGGCTAGTGTTGGTATTTGCCCAACAAGGCAAAGGGTATGTTTGTCATCTCGAGAATGGCGTATTTGAAATATTCACTAAAAGATAAGGGCATTTATATTAATGAAGTATCTAGAACTTCACTCCATAATTACCCCTGCCTTTTCATGAAAATATCAACAATGCCCTTTTTAATGACAAAAATTCCTTTATTCGGTTTACGAACATTAAATAATTAGAGAGGCAACTGTAGTACTTTCAATAGTTCACAAAGCTCTCCAAATATAACCTATAGGATTTAATAAGATGTTAACAATAGGATTTTATAAGATGTTAACAATAGAAAAACTCCATGTATATCTATAACCAAATGACAGGACCCACAAAGAATCATTTTTAATAAACTTATGTTACATGGTGTGAAAACAAAAAAATAAAAATAAAAAAGATAATTCTCGAGAATAAAGATATAAATGATTAAGAGCAAGAAGTGAAACTGAGTGAGGAACTATATGTAACAGCATGATGGGGTTTCACCTTTGGTAGAAAGTTCAGCAAGCGAAGCGAGTTGACCGCAGGCAGCTGCCTTAGCACCAGCCTTGTGCACATCTGCATCTGTAAGCTCCAAAACCTAAACCAAGTAAAATGTTGATCGGTATAAAGAATCAGCCGGCAAGAAAGTTTTTTGTATACCAAAATTCATCCATTTCTCATAATAAATGTTACTGTCTTCAAGGAACATTTTTGAAATACCTTATTTGTTTCAGGAAGCTTGCTTGAGGACCAGGTAGGAGAAACCTTCCCTCGCACAGAAGTTTGAATGATATGGCTATTTATTGTATTAGCCCCTTTGTCGTCATTAGAAGAGGAAGCGTATAAATTAACACCATTTGAAGATGCTTCCAACCTGCAGAGTGTTAAAGTTTGAGATGAAGGCGTTTTGAAATAAGACTAAATTAAGGCACAAGCAATTAGAGAATTTGACAATCAATTTGGTAGAGATGCATGCATGGTTGGGTGCGTGAAATTTCACATCAAATGCTACCCACAAAACCATAAAGATAATAATTACAAGAGATAGCCCAGAGCCTAGCTCATCATTGATTAAGTCAAGAAACTGCATCAATGATCTGGAATCTCCAACTAAAAAATCCAAGGTTCATTATGAGGCTTCCAAGGTGCATGCTACCAAAAAAGCAGGTATATCACAGTCTTGAATGGAAAATAGGAGTGGGCAAGAACTCAATTTTACGAAAGAGCTCTTGCGGACAAAATTTTCAAACCTAAATGCCAAGAGATTAGCAACCTGGCTAGGTAAGATCATCTCCCGAAAGTGGGCAATTACAATTACACATGCATCAAGGAGGCGACTATTTCAATAGGCCTGGAAGAATCATAACATCTAAAGTGAGCAAGCATTTTGATACAAATGGCTTCCTTTGCCAAAAGGCAATGCAGTGACATCTTCAAGGTTATAACTTGCCATCTACTGCATGAGAATCACCTTTAAATCATCAAAAGAATCAGAAAAAGGATTCAAAGACAGAAGCCCAAAATAAGACGAGAATGTCTAGTCAGTGAGCAAATACTGGAACCAGTCATCCTTTTGTACGGCACAAGGGATGTATTTACTGTGGACTTGTCCAGGCAATCCCACCTAATGTTGTGACCTCCCATCATAGAACAAACGGCCCAGCCTGCATGAGGAACATGGCCTTCCAAGTCTTGAGTCAAATAGAAACTGCCCCAGATCATATTATGCCACAGGAGCAGGAGAAGAGAGAAGCTGAATTTGCAACTGAAAAGACATGCACTTCAGCTCATTCAAGATGCAGTATGCAGTGGAGAAACATCTGTCGTTCAGGTTGGAGATTGAAAGGACTTGTATAGCAGCTAATACCACCATGAGTTTCTTTAGGATTAGACCTTCATCTTCCTCAGAAGGTTGAAGACAATAACTATGAGCATGGTGAAGGCCAACCCAAAGGCAATCCGGCTGGATATGCAGAATCAACCATATTGTAAGAGATCACACTAACTTTCCTAGAAGACCCAGCCCTTGTATAAACTAGCTATCCTCACGGAATTTTGGGGATCCTCCCCTCGTTTACCGAAACTGGCAATGTGTGCCTGAAGCTTGGCCATTTCTCCCTTAGCATTTCTCCTCTTCCGAGACATTAAGCAGAGAAGAGAACTCGACGATCCATCAGCCTAGGACTTCCTAATGGTCTCCCTCGAGCAGTCGAGGGAGAAGAGAGAAGGTTTGACCAGGTTCCGCCATGACGCATACTTCTCAGTACATGTGAGCATAGAATCTCTAGCAAGCCATAGTTCATGATATAACATCTTGTTGGGCCAAATATGCCATAGCGGCATGCATGAGACCAATGGAGTTCATCTTCAAAGGAAAAAGGGCGAATGTGTTCGGAATTAGTTTGCCGCAATGGGTTAAGACTTGTCTGAAACCCATATGTCATTGGAAATGATGGGGAAAATACCTCTCCCAGTAAACATGGCCCAACAATAAAGTGAAGAATTGGGAAAAGTGGGCAGGACTAATTATGGTTAGACTGGACTACTGACTGAAGCGGTAAGAGTATTGGTTCAGTTGGATTAGCCAAACCAAGACCGGTTCGCGGGCCGGACAAGTCTAATAAATTAAAAGATTAATAAATATGAAAAATAAGGGAAAAAGAAGAAAATTAAAGGAAAGATTAAGAAAATATTTTAAAATGAAAGAAAATTTAAAATATTATTAGAAACAAAAATAACCCATCAAGCAATAATATCAGCCTCAAAAATCGATCATAACGGCTCAAGCAAAACTAACCCATTAATTAATAATTATAGGTTTTTTATTCCACTATAATATCAGCTTCGAAGTTCAATCATTCAAAACAAAAGAAATAGGAAAGTTTTTCTTGGAGAAGAAGGCAACATTTTGTTTTTTTACTTCTTTTTTCTAGATTGAGACACATTCAAAAAGAGAGAGAGGGAGAGAGAGAAATGAGGCATGGACAAAATGGCATAAAAAAGCATGCAGAAATCTGAAAAAAATATATATATATCACGTGAAAAAGCAGAAAGAAGCACCCTTATATAATGGATATTGGATTGAGATTGAATGATCACAAATTCAGAGATCGAGGATCATTACAGGATTTCTAGCAAAAACCACAAAATGGTGATTCATGGTCAAATTCACCGTAGAGAAATCACCAGAGAAAATCCCTAGGGATGGTGGATTTCTCTCCCTAAGAATTTGTTTTCTAGAACCCTATTCTTTCCTTTAACTGCATTTGATTCCCCTAAATAATTTAAAAGGACTAAATTAAACCAACTAAAATGAGTATTTTCAATAAAAAGAAAAGGCCTATTGTGTATTAAAAAAAAAAAAGTGAGCTTAGGATTGGCTCTGGACCAGCTAATCCACTAGTTTAGCACCGATTTATTGGAACAGAAGGTCCTGTATAGTAAACTGGACTGCACAAACGATCAATTCACCGTTTCCTAGTTTGAACCAGTAGGTCCGGTCTAGTCCAGATATCATTGGACAAGACTACAAAAGACTGTTCCAAGCCATTCATGACCCACTCAAAAACTTGAAGCTCATTAAGATCCTCACAACAATCGTCAAGGCTGCAAGGTGTTGTATTTTTTCTTTAGAAATTACCTTATGTTATTTCAAAATAATATCACTTTTATTCCATGGTGTTTTGGAAAGTGCAATGTATTGAAAATTATGTTTTTGTTTCATTTGTGGAGACAATTGTTAAGTTATTTATCCCACATTGAAGATGTGGAAGAGGGAAACCATGTTTAAATATGTGGACATCCTCTTCACATGTGTTCTAAGAACTAAAGGGAGATAAGGCCTATGAGGAGCACGCGATCACGTACGAGCACGCGTCGTGTGCAAACACGATCATGCACGAGCACAGGTATGTGCGTGTGTGAGGGCGAGGGTGCCAGGGCACTCAATGGCGCACTTTACACTTCGCACGCTAGCATCAATGCATTAGGCGTCCCTCACCGGAGCATATGTCCAGGTTGAGCTCGTGGCATGTCTATCATTTTGCGTCTCTCTGCCCTATCCCTGCTTAAAAAAATATTTCCCTCTCTCAAGTATATGTTGTACCTTATAATTATTAAAGTAAATAGAAAGTGAAAGTAGGGGATATGAAAAGGGGAATCTAAATTGATTTGAACAGATGTACGAGGACAATTTTCTACTGCAATCATAATAAAAAATTTCTACATCCCTCTATCTCCAATTTGGGTTGTAGCCCTCATCTGACTCTCATATGAAAACAAAAAATTGTAATAATTGATAAGTGAAAGTAAGAGGAAATCTAAATGGATTTGAACAGTTGTAGAACTTAATGAGGGACAATTTTCTACTGTGATCATAATAAAAAATTTCTACATCCATTTATCCCCAATTTTAATAATTGGTAAGTGAAAGTAGGGAAAATCTAAATTAATTTGAACAGTTGTAGAACTTGATGAGGGACAATTTTCTATTGCAATCATAATAAAAAACTTTCTACATCCCTCTATCCCCAATTTCGGTTGTAGCCCGCCATCAGCTCTCATATAAAAACATAAATAATAAAAATAATAATTGGCAATCGATGAAAAATCACACAACACAATCCTAATAAAAAATTTCACACAACATAATCCTCATAAGATATTAGTAAAATCTCAATTGAAATAAGATACTTCTTTAGTCTCCTCCAATGCTTCAAAATTTTCTACTGCAATTACCAAACTTTCTAGTTTACTAATCAAACTTCTTCCCATTTTTTAACTTGTACCATAAAGATTTTGATTTTAGTATCATAAATTTATTGCTTATTTGAAATTATATATAGAGAGACACTTGAAAGACTTCTATAAAAATAGATAAAAATAAGGCTTATCACAATAAAATCATGTTATTCCAATCATATTATTCCAATGACTTATCATGTTGAAACCAAAGTCTAATCCTGTTAGTCAAACATAGCCATATTTTTCATATTTAGATGGTAATGCATTTCTCATATTTCTTCCAGACATAGCCAAACAGTAGCAATATATTTCCCAAGTTGCATCTAAATACTACCCAAAGAGTGACAATCCAATTGCAGGTAATGTGATACGCAGTAATGTATTACACAGTAATGCATTACTCCCATAATATATTTCATATATTTCTAGATATCCCAACGGCTCCTAATAGATTGGTGCACTGCAGTATCTGTCGTCCGTAGTGAAGATGTGTGTCAACGCTTAACGATTAGTCTTCCGAAAATCGAAGAGACACAGTGCGACAGTTACCTTTGCCTCACACGTACTAAGTGTGACGATTATTTTTTGAAACTCGAAGAGTTACCACAATGATGCATCATACTGACGGTTGAGATTTCAAGAGATGCAATTGTAGGCTTATGTAGTCACGTGTGGAAAGTGAAAAGGCACTTTCAACTATCTATAAATAGCGACATGTTTCCTCCTGTTTTTAACCCATAGAAGCCATACAAATTTCCCAAGTGTTTTCTGTGAGAATGTTTCTCTCTAGGAGGATGGCAACTCTGGTGTCTGGATCTTGCAATACTTGTGCATTTTTATTGATAAGATTATTTTCTCATTCTCTGCTCCTATATATCTTGAGGGCAAATTTACCTGGTACTAACTTAGATAGACACTGAATTCTATCAATAAGCGGCAAATATTGTCTTGAGAAAGTGACATATCGCGCCTAGGATCAAAGAAATTGAAACATTCTTTCTTTACTACATCCTTTATTTTTTCCCCATCTCACCCTCCTATTTCCGACCCAAGGCCCATCATGGCTTCCCACATCTTGTAACCCTTTATAGAAGAGGAATTCACTTTTGCTCGCATTGCACGCAACCCAAC